TATATATATATATATATATATATATATATATATATATAACCGTTGAGGGTTGACTGTATAAAAACAGTTCGTGCTGCACTGTATTTGTTTTGTCCTATCGTATCTATCATATGTTGTTGCCTTATTAAAAAATATGCTATACATTTAAAAGAAATGTATTTTTATTTTATAGTATATACTTATATATAAATACATTCATGAATGTTTTTAATGAATGGATTTTATAATACAAATAGCAATGTGTAACATTTTACCATATTCAGTGCAACACTTATTTGTTTCCCACAAAATATTGTTTTTTCACAAAATGTTTGGATTTCTAAAATTATTGTGCACTGATTTTTCTTGAATAACTTTTGCTGCCGAATTATCCAGTAACCTAGTTTATGATAAATTTTTGTCATAGATTATAAATATACATAGGCCTATATTTTTTCATATTTGTTTATTTTATTTTTCTTTATAGTGAAGTAGTCTGTATCTCGTAGATTGTGAAAGAATGATTATCAGTTCCACACACAGAGATATATAAATTCTACATTTATTTAAATGAGGGAAAAAAAACTTCACTGGTATCGGATCGGTATCGGCCAATACCGAACCCTAGATATCGGAATCGTATCGGAGGCGAAAAAGGCGGATTGGAGCATCCCTAATTAAAAGTGTTGCTCTAAATGCTCGAGCCTCAGTTCTCTCAAGCAGAGCGATTATGTGTTGACATGAGAAGTGTCTGCGTCTGATTTCACAATGATATTGAGGAAACGGCAATTTAGAAACATTTGCTCATCTGCTATCAAGTGTCTGACAAATTCACACTTTCTGCTGTCAAGGTGAAAACAAGCACTAAATGCGGTCAGTTGATATAATCTCTTGGAGAGCTTATCCATTTCAGCGGTGTCAAAATATGAGTGGATGACTCAGTCATGTCTAATCACTGATGCTTAATTAATTACAATAAAACTTCCACCCAAAATCATCATCAACAATACACAGACCCGAAATTCATCTAATTACCAAACAATCCAAATAGCTCCAGAAATGAAGTACTTGCACCAAATCTACACTGATAAGGTTCTGTGTTTAAAGAATTAAATTTAAGACCTTAATACTTTTATAATATTATAATAAATATATAAGTAATTAAATAAGGTTTTAACTGGGGACTAAAACCTTTAAACAACATCGGTATGATTACTTCAACTGTGAATAGTTATTAGGACTGGGCAACCGGTATGAAAAAAAAAAATCTATTTTTCAAATTTAATACCTCCAAAAACAATATTAATTTAAGACTTTTTACAGCCTCAAATTTTGAAAAGTTAATTTAAGACATCTGAATATTTTGAGGGACCAGCCCTGTGTGATGATATATAACCCATAAAAGTTATCTGTGTTTACATGTATAATACTAAATGGAAGATTAATAATAATCTGCATTCATACATTGCACTTGTTAAGAAAATAATACTTGGCAGGAGCAAGCCTCAACACATTTAACCTGAAGCTTCAGAGTCTGAACTGCTTCTGGGTTTGAACTTGATCCACCATATCGGACAGCTGTTCATACATGTGACACTTTGATTATGATTATCCTCCTTAGATTACGGTAATGAAAACAAAACATTCCTTCTCCTTTTCCCCTGAGGAAACAGCAGAGCAAATTTTACTCCATAAAACTGCCATTCTAGAAACTAAAGCAAAAATACAGTGGCCCTAAAAAGTATTTAGACACGTAAATCATGTGAATGTCATCGCATTAGACAACAAAATATAAAATCAAGCAGAATTTATTTTAAATGAAAATGTACACTTTCCAAACAAAACATTTGCTGAATGAATCTATTGTTTAAAAATATGATGTATTGTTAAAAATGTAAGTAAAAGAGTATTTGGATGCGTTATGATTTTTGGTAGTGGAATTTTTTTCCTAGTCAATATGATAAACTACACCTGTAGTGAACCTGAAGGGAACTGACTTCATACATCCACAAAAAATTATCACAATTTCAAAACACCTTCCAAATTTGTTTGCTGATGCCACTTGCATGCAATAAACATTCATACATTTTTAGGTGTGCTTGCTGAGTTGAGCGTTTGGTAATGCTGGTCAACAGTCAACGCAAGCCAAAACAACTCTCTCTGGCCATATAGAACAGCTACCACAGAATCAAAGGAAGATTTAGAGAAAGAGATGTTGCATGAATAGCAAAACCACCAGGGCACAAGCTAGCGGGGGCAGGAAAAGAGCCCAGGAAATGACCATGAACTGGCAAGCAGCTGATGAGCAGATTTAGGCAATCAAGAGTGTGGGAGAGATAAGACTTCCACTTGGCATTCTTCAGTTGTCTCATTATGGGCATTAATGAGGGCCTTTGCGTTGAAAATCTAAAACTCCAAGTCCTTTGAAATGCCTCGGCAGACTCTCCCCCCACCCCCCATCCTTTAATTAAGGCCTTAGAGTGCCAGAGACACTATTTCACGGATGCAGTGTTAACATAACCTCAAAAATGGGTGAGGAAAGCCATTTTCAGCAACGCGTCTCCAGTTTCAACATCACTTCAGCGGCTATTCTCACACAGCAGGCAAGCGACCGTTGCGTTACTCCGCACTGGACACGATGACGATCACAATCAGTATAATTATGACAAAGTGAGAGAGGACCCCTTTCCACGTTTAACGCTGACCGTGGTTTGACCTATAGTGTAAAATTAGACCAGTGACAAATTGCGTATTATTAATGATTAGATTTCCAATTATTGAGTGAGAGAACATACTGTCCAAGATGGCTCGCTAACGAAATGGAAGCGCATTAATAACATCACACTACTTCAAATTACATGCAGATCAAAGACGATGACCACCCATTTCAGCTGTTAATTAGATAAACAGCCCTCCAACCAGAGCGCCACAAGTGATACTCAGTCAGAGATCAGCATCAACGGCTTCCATGTATAATAGGGCTGCAATAAATGACCAATTAAAACTTTGGGCAAGTTTTGAAAACTTATGAGAAATGTGGTCAAACTGTGTCTGGACAGACTGGACAGTGACAATGTGAAAATACACCCTTTTTTCAGCAATGTATAGAAATGTAAAATAATATTCTTATATTTAGTGTGGTCAAGCGTAATTTAGCTTTATTACAATAGTGTAAAATATTTTTAAAAAAACATACAGTGTACACTATTTCTTTGGAATGAACTTACACGCTCTCTTGCACTATTCATGCCGTGCTTCTTTTCAGGAGAGGTTTTGGATCTCTGTGTAAGGTCCTCAGTACTAGTGGGATTTCTCATGTTGTCACTGCAAGACAGGAAAAAAGACAAAACTGTTACTTCAATAAATACATAAAATGCACTTTCATCTTACAGGAAACCCCTTCATTTAACATTCAAATCGATTTAACATTGGTGAAATCTTGGTCGACAACAACAAGCATTATCATGAAACACATCACATCCTTTAATGCAACTGCTACTTGCCTGCAGTAGTTCAATATAACATTTGAGTTGACTTTTAGTTATCTGACAGAGGGTCAGGAAATGGTTCAACACCCCCTCACACGCAAACAGCAAGTCTACTTTTCATTTCTCAACAATTGGTCACTGACCACAACAAAGGCATTATAGCCAGTTACGGCACTCAGTAAGTGGGCAGTGAGACCAAAATCTTTTATCACATTATGAGCAATTTTATACCACAGTGACGGTACACGTATATATTTAAGCGTTAAAAAAATTTGGGGTGGAAAGTTTTTGAAAGAAGTCTATTCTGCTCACCAAGGCTGCATTTATTTGATCAAAAATACAGTAAAAACTCTAATATTGTGAAATAATATTACAATTTAAAATAACTGTTTTCTATTTCTAAATAAAATTAAAATGTGATTTATTCCTGTAATGGCAAAACTGAATTTTCAGCAGTCATTACTCCAGTCTTTATAGTCACATGATCCTTCAGAAATCATTCTAATATGCTGATTTAGTTCTCAAGAAACATATCCTATTATTAGTAATTTTGAAAACAGTTATGTTGCTTAATATTTTTGTGGAAACCGTGTTTTCAGGACTCTTTGATGAGTATATTAAGCCTGAAAAAAGCATTTATTTAAAGTAGATCTATCGAATTTTAGCATTGTTAATTTCTTTACTGTCAATTTTGATCAATTAAATGACCCTTACTGTTATCATTTCTCTCTGAAAAAAAAAATTTAAAAATCTGACTGAACCCAAACGTTTGAACAGTAGTTTATATTATATGCAATTTACTAATGTCGATTAGACAATCTAGTAGCATAAATATATTTATAAAATTATTATTATTAAAAATTCTAAAGCATTTTTTTAAATAATATAAAATTAATATTTTTAACAACATTTTAATAAAAATACACATAGCAAGTGAATAAGTTATATACAGTGACAATGTTTGTCTGTTATAATATAGATAGTCTGATGTTGAATTTTCTTTTTGATCATAACAGGAAATTTGGAAATTCAACCGGCTGACACATTTCTTCCACCCATACCACAGCCATTATACACCACTGCAACTTGCAAGAAAATAAACTGACTTTATGCTTATATGGGCGTACTGTTATGAGTGGTGTTTCAATCTTTTAATGACAAAGTATTGTGAATGGATGGGATCCATCAAGGATGCTGGTTATGTTTATAACGGTGGAAAGGTCACACAGATTTTTAAATACTAGACAACATTAAGCAGGTTTGTTAAATGTCTTTTTAGCTAACCTATGACCCCTGGAAGACCTGTGATCTAAGATGAGAGAGTAACTGGAGAGGATGAATGGCCTGGTAGGCTACGGGCAGATAAATTGTTAATTGAATGGTCTATCTCTCGTTCAGATCTCATTACTGTGGCTTGGTCAGGACCCTGTAGTCTGAATTGGGCCTAATGACATTGATAAGGTCTTCCTAATGACAGACTTTCTCTGATAAACATTAAGTGCTTGACTGTCCTCATCTAACTCTACTGAGAAAAGAGCAGAGGTTGGAAATGACAGGCAAAATTAATGGAAGACACGTTCCTCAGCAATTATTGCTGAATGAATAATACTATTATACATCACATAATGCATTTAAATACAATTAAATTAAATATAATACTTAAGCATTTATTCAAATAAATATTTTACATATATTATTACAACTTAATTTTGTTCTTATTTATTTTTCCTCATTAAACATTACTGATAAATGCTAATGGCATCTGACCTCAAGTAAGTGAGACGAAAGCTTGATTAAAGTAGCTATAACGTATAAAAGGCACAAAAAATGGCTAAAAACTAGTCATACCTGGATCTGTAGTGTGAGAGGAAAGGGTTGCTTTCACTGGTAAAGGGGTTTGGAGATCGCAGGTCTCCAGAGCTTCCTGTTCGCTTTCCAGCGGCCGTTTTCTTTCCTTCCTTCTTCCCAGTCACTCTGCCCAGAAGACCGACCTTCTTCTCTCTCTTCTCTGCCCCCCACAGCATCCCCTGATCTCCCTCGAAGGGATTGCGGTTGCGTGGGAGAGTGGCGAATTTCTGAGGCATGTTGTCTCCGATGTCGGAAAAGGGGTCACATGGAACGTCGCTGGTTGGGCAACCATATCCATCACTCTGAGAGTGTCTGTGAGATGCAGCAACCCCTGTGGATGAGAAAGATGGAACATTTTCTTTAGCACTTCTCCATAGAGCGCTGCAGGGATGAGGCATTTTTGTAGGCCGAAACCCAGAGACGCGTTAGCATTTTAGCACGTTTCATTATCCTGAAGGCAATGGGTTTTTGGTTGCTTGAAATAATGTCTGTGGATAACACAAGCTCAAGATATTTTCACATTTTTATTCTACAAAATAAAATACATCAGTAATGACCCCTAAGCTTTTAACTCACTAAGTGATTAAATGGGACTACAGTGGTTGTTTATCCTCACCTTTCTCCTCAATAGAGTTCATGGAGTCGAGTTTGGGCCTGAAGTGAGTTCCTATCAGATCAGACATGGAGTGAGCAGCAGAAAGTTTCTGCGTCCCAGTGAGCAGCGAGCGTTTTGGCTTGGGTTCAGGTGCAGCCTGAGGGTGAGGGTGAGGGTGCTGGTCTGGCAGAGAATCAGTCTCGCTCTGTCCTGAGCGAGGAAGGATGGCGGAAGATGTGTCTGAAAAGGCACCGTTGTGCTTGCGACCCTTCATCTTTTCCTTGAGCTTGGAGAACGGTGATCTGGGTTTGTCTCGCATAGACAAATCGAACATGCTGGCGGTCATGTTGTTCCGCATGAACTGAATGCTAACTTGAATCTTGCCTCGGTCTTTCCTCTTCTTACCTGGCCGTGAGTCTAGCGTGTACCAGCTGACAAGAGAGCGACATGAAGTATAAGTATATATATTTAATAAAACGTCAGAAATTCAGAAAGGCAGGTATAACAGTAAGAAATTAAAATGTCACTTAGATGGACTGGGATACAACTTATTTTTCAATCAACTTTATTTATTGATTCTTCACATCTTTTGTTGTTCACAGAGTTTATTTTCTGTAAAAATCCAAAAGTCAGTGGAAAAATCTGTTTTTGTTGAGGGAATCGGGGTGATGCTAACTTACTGGATTTTTACTGGAAATTTCCAGTTTCCAATTTTCCAGTGAACACAATCTCTGCACAAAAAAAATAAGTAATTTGAGTAATTTGAGAAACAAAACTGTTTGAAAAGTTTGTAAATTCAAATCATATTTAAATTCTGAACACAGCTGCTACAGAGCTACACATATTTGGCCGTTGTGTCACAAGTGTGGTTGGCCTCTTAGGTGTTATTAAAAACAGCTAGGTTGGTGGTACATGCACCAGTAATTTGCAGATGTTCCAGTGTACTTTCACAGCTTGATAAAAACAAGCAGGAGAAAACCGCACACTCTTTCACTTCTCCTTTTCTGTGAAACCCCCCTTGGTGGGAAGACTCTCTTTCAGGCTTTGCTCTGTATGTATAATTCATACAAAAACGACATGGGGGCAATGTGTTTGTCTGGCCAGAAACCCAATTTCACTTCACACAAATCCACAGCATAGTCCATTTAGTCCATTTGAAAGCCTTCCCCCTTCCTGAGAAAGCATATTATAGTAGGGATAAACATAATTTCCTGGTAACTGCAAAGGTTTGGGCCACATAAAGAATGTGAAGTAATACGCCCCCATCTAGGCCATTCCCCGGCTCCTGTTTATTTAACCTCTTACTCTTTTTTTTTCTGCTGGAAGTAATGTGATTGATGCTGTAACTGTGTGAAAAGGAGGTGGCATTTGCACAAATCTGGCCTTTGTTCATTGATGCTCATACCGGTATTTGGAGATTATGAAATGGACAATATTTCAGCAGAGGCACATGAATCTCAATAGTGGCTGAATACTGATGCTCCTGCAATTCAAGACACTTGGAGCAGGATCATTCATTTAGAAATGATGGTCATGAACACTTAAGGCATAGGTAAAATACTAGACAGAGACTTTTATTTAATACAGGGCCAATGTGTTCAGTGAGCGGATGCCATACACCATTTTACACCACCATAGCCAAATGTATGGTGGAAAACCCTATTTCCAAAAGATATTGTTAATTACAGATTTTTTTTCATTGATGTCAGTCAACATTAGCCAATATTGCATATTTATTGCACAGGTTAATTATGTTAAACATAATATTTAGCAAATCTCAAAATGTACTTGTAGTACTAACTTGCATTGTTTAAACTGACTGATTTTAGTATTTTGCAATTTATTAAGACAGAATGATATAAAAATTTGATACTGGCCTAACATGAAAATAATTATTGGTGTATCTGTATGTAGACTTGTAGAATGTGACTCATTATTTTTGTAAAACATCACTCGGGCCCTTTCTTGACCTCAGCACTAATTAAAAAGACACTCTGTAGACTCACAAAGCAGCCCTCTAGAATGCAGTTCAACACTTCCGACCTAGACACAGTTCTTTCATGCAAACACTACTGTAAACACTCCTTCAGTAACGGAACACACTTCCCTCTGGGGTCGTCACAGGCTGCCATCTTGCTGAGTGCTCTTCTTCCATCATGGCACAGCTAGTGAATGGTGATTATGTTTCTTTCCAAGACCATCCACACACTGGGGAGCTTGTAGATCCGAGGGAAGAGGGTTTACCTGGTCTCAGGCCCAGTGAGGGAGCTCTGATCTGGGCATGTGGAAAGCCAGCCAGCCCCTGTTCTTCACATGGGACTCAAGGCCAAGATAAATCTTCCTCTGCCTGGAACCACAATACTCCCACTCTGCGAGGGCCGCTGGGAACCACCGTACAATCAACAAACACAGGTGTGCGATAATTAGGGCCTGTCGACTCCAATGTCGAAACGGACTCTTGTACCCTTGCGTCAGTTAGAGGAAACCCTTGCATGAACAGAGTCAACGGGGACTGCTAACCCTGAGAGTCTTTCCAGGAGATGCGAGGTCGGTAGAGTGATTTGTGTCACGAGTGTCAACAGTGATGTTAGCAACCGGTTACAGTACATAACTTCACCCCAAGGGTGTGATATCACAGGATTGCTGAATAAATAATGCTTGCACTGATTGTGACATATTGCCAATGATTAGAAGCTTGGAGGAAAAGTAAGGAAGCATCGATAATAATAGTCTAAATACCAATAAGCCGATAATTATGCACAATGAAATAGACTATACATCCAATATCAGCCTATAACTGATATTGTACCAATTGTGCATTACAGGAGAGGATCTCCAGTGTAAAACTTACTTACATGTAAATAAAAAGCAAATTTCAGTATTCTTAAAAACGACCTTTTTGTAATTGATTTCTGTCATTTACCGCATTCATTAATGCCAGGTATGCAAGACATTGGCACTGCCCTTTCTACTGCAACTAGCCATACTTGTTTCTCTCATAATACTCAAATAACCATGCTAGTCTCATGCCCAAAAAAGTGAAATCAGGAAATATTGTCTCTCTTATGAAGTAGTCTTGACATTTAGTTACAGAAAGTAGTCTCTGTCACACCTGACAATAACATTAGAGGAAGTCAGAAGAACACACCTGTTAGTCACCAGGGCCTGACAAACAGAGAGGAAAATATAATAGCACACATGATAATCATCCTCACTAGACCTGTTCATCTGCCACATGATTGTGACTCAAACTGCATGGAGTCAAAAGGCCTTTATCGGAGTTTCATACCAGAACAAACTGGCCTGCATGAGATGGCTGCCCTTCTATAGTAATGCACAGCAATGGCATGTTCATAGACATTTAAAACTCAGATGACAGGTTTTAAAAACAAAGACAGGGTTACGTCAGAGGATTACTTCAAATGAAACTGCATCACTAATAGTTACAGAAGTTAAGAATAGCCCATGTCGTTCAAAACCTTCCATCATGTTATACTTTGAGTACTATTAACTGACTTGGCTTCAAAATGCTGACAAGCATTAAACACAGGGGTCTATGTAGGATGTTATGTCAGAGCGAGACTTTGAGGTCTGCTCTTAAATAATCAAAAATTCTAGTTAAAAAGAAAAGAGAGAGAGAGAGAGAAGAAAGGCCTGTGATTTAAAAGAATCTTGAGGATTGCATAAATACAATTTAAACAAAATTTCTTAACTGTAACACCAAAAGAGGAGAAGACATTTAGTGTTTGGTTCCTCTTTTAAGTTGCACTTCTGCTTATTTGAAAGAGTGCTACATTTGTATAGTTCTACAAGACTTTTGATAGATCTTTAAAAGATCAGGCATCAAAAATGAATGAAATATTTAACTCACTCAGTTTTCCTCCGTTCCTTGTTGTCAAATATCTCATTTAAGTTGATGATTTTTTGGCCCAGAAACTTATCCAATCCAACCAGGGACCTGTGCATGACTGTGAGGCACAGCTCATACACCTCTGGATTGCTCTCCATCAGCAGCCCTGGCAGTTCAAATGAAGCCTCTTCCCTCCACACCGGGCTGAGGGTCTTCTCCGACACTGATGTGGAGTACTTTTCTTTGCCCAGCTGGATGATGGTGTAGGCATCGTTGGTGCCATTCTTGCCCTTTGGTTGCAGGTCTGTGGCTTGAAGAACAGTGGCTTGGACGTGAGTTGGAAACCACTTCTGTGACTGTTCGCCCAATGACATGATGACTTCAAGTGTAAAATTATGGATTTTGGTGTGTGAAATGATAAGTGTATTATTTCAATTTGGCCGAGGCATTTTGTTTAGCTTCTAATCACAGGAAATGAGCGACCAAGAGTACATAAAAATCAAAAGTTACTCTCCGCAAACACCCCACACATTCACCCCACTCCAATTTAGGTCACCTAAACCAAAGAAGAAGAAAAAACAGTCTCAGAAAAATAATATTAAAACTTAAATTCATATTACAAATGACACAGAAATAACAATTGTAACTTAAAAACGAGTGACTTTAACAATGCAACAAACTTAAAAAGTTAAATTGTTGTTTAAAATAAAAGTGTTTTGGGGAAAGTGATTTTTTCTTTCTGACCAATTTTACCATGGTGACCAGGGAGTCACTATATTTTTTGCTATATGTATCTAAAACTTACATATATTATTCACATATGTATTTGTTGAAAATTAAAGTAGTTTAACACAAATAGTAAACTGCATAAATTAATGTCAATTACATATATTGCTGTTGTTACAACTTACACTACTGGGATGGACTGTAACTTAATTTGAAAACATGTTATAAAAATGTCCATGAATTTATTGTGGTAATCAAATTGTTCAAAATATTAACTATGTCCAATAACCCTAATTTAATTTTAAAATGTTTAATTAAAAATGGTAAACATATAAAAACACTGTCATTCAGAAAATAAAAGAAAATTATCTATGTAGCTTATACAACGTCGCACTATTATTATTTTTTTATGTATGAAAAAGTGCGAGACTTATACTGTATAGAAGCTGGTGATTCAAATGAACACCAGTTTTATCATTTAACATTCAATTTATAATCAAGACATACAATTTTACTAGGATATTATTATTATATTGTTGATGTTAATAAGGATTATTGCTATTTATCTAATTTCATTTAACGTTAGGCCTATTTTGCTCTGTAAATATTTTATATCTCAAAACACCGACATTTACAACTTTTACTTTTACCTCAGGAAGGGTGGTCATGGGTTAAACTCAACCAGTATTTAATGGAAAAAAGAAAAAGAAAAAACACTCCGCGGTCTTCCCTTATTTAATTCAATTAGAAGCTTCACTGCTGGCTTCATTACCCACAGTTACTGCTGCTGTCAAACAGTCATACAGCACAAGCCTCTGATATTTACCTCTGAAGCATCTTTCTCGAACAAGCTAGCGTCGCCACTGCATGTGGGATGACCGCTTATGCCAATCGGTATCTGTGGTGAATGAAAATGAATAAATTGCTGTAAGCGACACTAATTCATCTTAAACAAATGTGTGGTATTCCAATCCACATCAGCCCTGAAGTCGACTTCCTAGTTCCTCATTTCCGCCGCTGTGGTCACGGGTCGAAGTGCAAACTCCTCCTCTGTTGCCGTGGAAACACAGGATTTGATCGGCGCGCGCCTGGCGCTGTTCCTGGGATTCGAATGACTGTGAGGCTTATGAGAGTTTGAGCAGTTCGTTTCCCTTTTGTTGTTAGTTTTGTCGAGAAAAAGAAACAGGAAAGTAATAAACAGCCTGTTTGTAAAACATTGCATTGCTATTTAGAATAATAAAAAAATGGGTCAAACAATTAATTATAAAACACGAGTAACCTTACATGATACATTTTTAGATAACTTGGATAAATGTTTCATATAAATGACCTATATATAAAATCATGTAGTACATAATCAATAGTATTCGTTTTTATTTTTATTAGCAGGTCACTCATCAGTAATAGCAATGGGGGAAAAAAGAATGAAAAAAGGGCTGTATTAAATATAGCCTATATGTGACCATGGACCACAAAACCAGTCATAAGTAGCACAGGCATATTTGTAGCAAAAGCCAATAATACATTGTATGGGTCAAAATGATCGATTTTTCTTTTATGCCAAAAATCATTATTAAGTAAAGATCATGTTCCATGAGGATATTTTGTAAATGTCCTACTGTAAATATATCAAAATGTAATTTTTGATTAGTAGCCTAATATGCATTGCTAAGAATTTCATTTGGACAACTTTAAAGGCGATTTTCTCAATATTTTGATTTTTTTTGCACCCTCAACTTCCAGATTTTCAAATTGTTGTATCTCAGCCAAATATTGTCCTATCCTAACAAACTATACATCAATGGAAATCTTATTTATTTAGCTTTCAAATATAATATAATAATATGATATGCAAATGTCAATTTAAAAAAATTGACACTTATGACTGGTTTTGTGGTCCAGGGTCACATAGCCTAACATAATGGAAAAATGTATAATTATAGCATATATAATTAATGCATCAGAAGGTTAATTACTTCAGAATGGAAACAGAGAATCCAATTTAACAAAAGCTGCATAAATTGTGGAAAACAAATAAAATGTAGAAGGAAGATCAAAATCTCCTCTCTGAAATAGTGAATGGAGTCCCATGCAGGCTATCTGGGATTCTTATAATGTCCACTCAATAAAGTCAATAAATGTCTATTGGAGGCTCTTGACAAAACTAAACCAACCAAACATGTTAACATACCGTCTGTCAATGTTTCTTGAGTGGGGACATTGAGGTACTGATAAGAGATTCATTTAAATGAGTACAGACATGTGTGTCATCCCAGTTGACAGGTACATCTTAACCAAACACACATGCTCTTTCATTTTATTCTCTTTCTCTCTCCTTATCCCCATCAGCCTGCCATAACCGCAGAGTGTTGTGTACATACCAGAGTCAGAGGCATGAGTCTGGCACATTCGTCACACATAGATTATAACTCGTATCTGCAGTGTATCTCAGGATGAAAATGGGCCTGGTGTGGTGAAATATTAGGTCATATAAAATGCATTTAAGACAGCTTAAACTGCGGAGGGGCCCTTCTATGTGCCATTTCGAGTTAAGCCTCACTGCAAACACCAGGAAACAGCTGAGGAACCAGAGCAGAAGAATCTCCCTGAAGATAGCTGTATGGTCTTTTCACGGACCAATGAAACAATGTTTAATTTATGTATGTATATAGTTGTTCCTTGTTTGTATCACTCCGCTGTTTATTTTTACGCACTGCAGACAGACTATCTGTATATTACAGATAGTCTCTGATCGAAGATGGCGCCGACGCTGATATTTATATATTTTTATTCCTTATTTACTTGTTCTATTTTTTATATTTTATTATCTGTGTTTTTTGTTCTGTCACTGTCATTCTGTTACACTGTGGAAGCTTCTGTCACGAAAACAAATTCCTCGTATGTGTAAACATACCTGGCAATAAAGCTCATTCTGATTCTGATTCTGATATTAGTGGTGGACTTTTTTTCATCTGCTCTTTCTGCAGGTTACATTGTTATGTCAGTAGGTGGCGATAAATCTTTATAACGAGTGAGCCAATTGAATCATTCACTGAAATGATTTGTTCAAAAACGCTAATTCATTCAAGAACTAAAGCTACTGTGTTTATGAGTGAGTCATTAAATGATTCACTCAACCAATTCTTTCAAAAACACAGATTTATTCAGGAATGCAAGAAGTGACTGTCTTTATGAATGAGTCACTGAATCATTTACTCATTCAGAAACAAAACACTGCAACACTGTCTTGTGGGAAGTGCTTCGACATGCAGCCAACACTCGTGTTTTCTCAGCAATGCCATAACAGAACCATTTTGGGCTCCCCAAAGATATATCAGTGAAAAGCTCTTAATAAAAACTTTGTGAAGAATATTTAAATAAACCTTTTAAATAAACCTTTTGTGCAATTAAAAGTTCTCATGGATGCTAAAGGTTCTCCATTGACCCATAGATGCCAATTAGAAACCTTTATTTTTAAGAATGTTGTTGCGCTTCAGTTCACCCTGACTTCGAACCTCCGCTTGTGATCCTTTCCGATCCCATGTACTTTACTTTTTGTCAGCTTTCTAACTATCCTATCTGAATAAATGGCAAAAATAATAGTAGTCATAATCAAAAACACCACTACTGAATGTTACACCATTTCTGTTGTGGCTTTGTTTGGAACTATTTTCACTGGCAGAGACAAAATAAAGATAGATATAGGAAAGAATAAAGTTTTTTCCTCTCCATTCCATAAATTTAGCTCTCAATTTTGCACTGTTCAGTTCTAAAGAATCTCATGGGGTGGAAGAGGCTCATGGCTGTAAAGAGACACCACCAGGGATCATGACACCAATCCTTAATTTGACAATTTGTTAGACACTTTCATGTATTACCTTCTAAGACCAAAATACGCCCGTGTGCCTCTGGAGTGGGATAAAAACATGAAAGGCTCTACATTCCAACCGCACCTGCTTCCTTTTATTGTTCTCCTCTGATAGAGTATATAAAGGGAAAAAAATCCATCAAGTCATAAATTAGCCTAGAGTAATGTATGGCCTCAGTCCACTTTTCCAGAGGAATGATGTTGTAGCCCATAAACTGTCCAATATACAACAGGATCCTGTATTGCATATCAGTAAGGCCCACGTGTTGGCCTGTATTAGGCATCATCTTTATGGGCCCGAATCCTCTGTAAGGTCTCTCGCCACGGTCAGACAGCTGGTTCTGCTTTAGGCCCCTTTCTTCAACACTATATAGGTTGTTTTACATTTATTAAACACTTTTAAGCATCTCTGGCTGCAAGATTGCCCATCTGTTAGCACACAACAATATATGCGTTCCAAGTGCCGAGGGAGCACGAGAAGGTGAGGGGATGCCATTGTAACAGCAATACGGCTCATAATGCGCTTCAGGTTTACGGTCGGGTTGCGAGATTGATTTAAAAGGCTGTGCTTTTAGTCAAGAGGACATTCAGATTACAGATGAAAATTTAATAATAAAAAAAAGTAGGAGAGAGGAGCACAAATCACTGCCGGCGCTGCGCTCTGTGGAATGTTAGGGTGTGCAATGCACGGTGATATATAGATCTGCAGATGTGCATGTTGCCTGCGACGGCTGGAGCAGAAATTGTTGGGGGCGTGCAGCTGCCGAAAGGTCCATTGTGTGGAACAATACTTCAAGAGTGTTTATTTGAGTATCACTAAAGGCTATAACCTCTCACCCCTTCATAGCCGACTGTCACAGAAGTTAGGAAGTTGCACTTTGAGCATCGAGAAAACCTCTGAGGCCAAATCATAAACGGTGATGGGTTTGAAAAAAATGTTACATTGTCAAAAGTAACATTAAGATGTTTTATGAGAACACATTTCTCTTATCTTATCTTGTGTCAGCACAAATTCTCTTTATGATGCAACTGTGTGTGTGTGTGTGTGTGTGTGTGTGTGTGTGTGTGCATTCATATGTCTGTCTGAATAATCACAAGAGGATATTGAGGTTACCATATATTTTATGACTACAATCAAATGACAGTAAATGGAACAACAAAATAAAACATTAAGTCATTTTTGGAGTTTTCACAGAGAAGCACAAAACTGCTACCGGTATCATACAGTCGAGTTATGCTTATTTAACGATGCTGAGCATTGTGAACTGGCAAGCAAGTCATTTGCAAATGTAAACATACAGTCGGTATGTTGTAAGGTAAACACTATGAAGTAAGCAAGTTATAGCATTTGCCAAAGTGTATTCTATCTGCATTCCACTGCATGAGTCGAGTGCTGCTTTTGAACGCTGTTCTGTATGCATGAGAGGATGTGCAGACCAGGGATATGACAAACAAATTAAACAAATGAGAGTGATTAAAACAGCTGGATCCACAAATGGCATGACCAATTCAGGGAATTATGGAGGCAAATGCATGCAATTATAGCAAATGAAGTACACCCACTTTGCGCTACTCAGATGTTGCATTAATTTGAATGGTCTGTTTCTGCTGTGCAATTCATATTACATTAAATTAGCAATAGAATCCCTTGTGTCCTTCTGCTGTAATTCAGCTGAAGTCTTCATAAAGCTCTTCTCTCCAAAGCAAATCATTTGCAGTCGGAGATCATCATGTCGAAATCCTCAAATGGCATTGCATTTCATAATATTATTGGGAAATTTGGAAAGAACACTAATCAGGTTGATTTTTAAGTGTTATGATATTCTTATCATTTTATGAAAACTAATTTTGGCTTTCCGAGAAGTGATTTTGTAATTGTTGGGAGTTTACCATAGTTTTATTTGATTTATGGACTTTTTTTCTTTTCAAGACAAGAAACTGGGGGAGAGAAGGGGGATGGGAACAGAACACTCCACCAAAGGTTTTAATTTTATATTAACTTATATTAATATTTCATTAAATATATCCCTGAGGTAATAAGTAAAGATGACTATTTTCCTTTTTTTTTTTATTCCACATTAACTGATATTTTTTATATACGTATCAGTTAATGTGGAAATTAAAAAGGGGAAAAAAAGAAAAAAGTAGTAACCTCCACTTGTTACCTCGAGGATATTTTTCTACACAGTCTAATC